GGGGGGGGGGGGGGGGGGGGGAGATTTTTCATTCAAGGGGAGAACGTCCTGGGATATTACGGCTGTTGGTCGCGACATCGCGTAATGTACCACGTCGCCGCAAATCAATATTAAAAAGACAACACATGGTGTGGACCAACTCATTTCACCTTCGGTGAAAGAGAGATACGATGATCGCGAGTTACTATCAATCCGGAAGTGATGGGATTTCTTTGAGAAAAGAGCGGGGCCGGAGAGGAGTTGGAAATTTTGTATCATTATTCATTGAAAGCAAAAAAAATAATAATAAAAATAATGAAAACTTTTCAATGCGATATTGCCATCTTTCTTTATGTCGTCAAACACTACTGCTACTACTATTATCTAATCTCCTTTTCATTAGCTAATTCATTTATTTTCCTTTTTTACGGAAGAAAAATAAAGAAAACGACAGCGCAAGGAGGGGGAGAGAATGGTGAAAGGAAATTATGAGAAAGAAAGATTTGCTTTGAAGTTGGGTAATTAAAAGAGAACGAAAAAAACTCTAAATTCTTTGTTTCTTTTTTTCGCTCAAAAAGTTGAATATAAAGTGATGAAAATGGTATATCTCGATATTGCTAATAAATATACAGACAGAACAACGATGATTCAACTCATTTTTCATCACCTCGCGCCATCTGCGTGCGCACCCTCGACCCCTCGACGATATGTTCGTCATCTCATCATCATATATATTTTTTTTTATAGGATAAATAAGCACTGGCCCTGGCTATTGATAGTCCTATAGTACATAGAAAGTTATTCTTGTTAAAGAATTTTACTCTAAAACAATTGGCTTTCTCAAAATTCAAATAATTAACAACATGAGCATATGAGGAATATAACCTACTCACTCAAGTGCCCTTTCATTTTGGAGACTATAGTTAAAATGACAGATTCATTGGCCAAGAGTTTTGCTTGTGAGGAATTTAATCCTGATAAATGTAAGTTTATTATTATTAATTAATAATACTGTTATTGAGTAGCCTCCTCTTTGAACAATATTGTAATATTGCAATATTGTGATTAATAATAATTAGTCTTTGTTGTTATAATTTATAATTATTTCAAGTCGTGAAAGAATTGAGTGCTCAGTGTGTGGGTGCTGACGAGCTTCGCAAGCAACGTGCAAGAATCCAGGAACTGGCTGATGACACATCAGCTCAACTCAAGCGAAATGTCTATCAGAATTACATGCAGTTTATTGAGACTGCCAAGGAGATATCTCATCTCGAGAGTGAGATGTACCAGTTGTCACAGCTCCTAGGAGAGCAGAGGTCACTCTTAAGTACTCTGGGATCCAGCAGGAGTACCAGCCGGCCGCCGGGCATTTTCGATGAGAGCCTAGAGTCTCAGCAGCTAAATGAGACACATGACAACACTCATGTGTCAAAGGAGGAAGAGAACAAGCAGCAGAAGCAGAAGCTGGTGCAGTTGCTTGAAAATGTTGAGGGTGCAATGAGTCTTGTGGAGACTCCAGGGCGTGTCTGTCTTCACGAGGGATCCCTCCTCGAGCTCGATCCCCTTGACGGCACCCCCTTAAAACGAATCCACGCATACCTCTTCAATGATGTCCTGATGATTGCCTCGTGGCTAGCAACAGGAGGTCGCCGAGGCCCTCCTCGCTACAAGATGCAAGCAGTTTACAATCTTCAAAGTCTGGCCATTGTTAACGTTCGAGATTTGGCCTCTGTTAAACTGGCCTTCAAGCTCCTCGCCTTTCCAGACACTCGTGTCTTTCAGTGTCCAACAGCCATCAGCAAAAAGGAATGGCTGGACAAGTGCGAACAAACGAAACGGGCTCATCTCAATCAAGAGCAATCAAGCGGACAATCATCGGACTACTCCAACTCTAACTCCAATCTACAAGAATCCACAAAGAATAAAGATTCTACAATAGTCCTCCCTTCCAGATCGCTCTCATTGGACTCTAACACTCCAATCGACGATGGAGACGAGTCTGAGAGCCTTGAGCCACTTCCAGAGTGGCTCCTTGAGGTCACTGAGGACCTGGACTCTTGCATGGCTCAACGTCACTTTGAGGAAGCCTATAGTCTATTGGAGAAAGTGAAAAATTATCTCCGAGAATCACAGCAGACAGCCAACATGAACGATATAAAGTCTAAGGTAAAAAACTAACTCTAAATAAGTACCTACTAAATAAACTTACAAACTTATAATTACAAGATATTATTACATATATTACAGGTTGAAGATCGTGGAAGTCGCCTAGTAGACATTTTAACTCGAGAACTAGAACTAAGTGCTGAGGCTAAATCGTTGCAAGGAGGTGGACTTAGATCGGCTCGGCGTGCAGTCAGGCTTCTCATTCAACTGGACAGAAGTGCCCAAGCCTGTCAACTATATCTCCAGCTTTGCAATGCAGCATTAAAAGCTAGATTGAAACGTGTTAAACGAGAGGGAGCAACGATCCCCTATGTCAAACAGCTCAGTGCAATAGCCTTTAGTAATATCGTGGAAATGGCGAGGGAGTTTCTCAAGCTCTTCCCAGAGTCTAGCAACTGCACCTCGAGTCTCGTCGTATGGTGCAGTCAGGAGGTCAAACATTTAACTTCACATTTGATTAAACAATTGTTTATTCCTCAAGTTATCCTTGGGACACTGGTCGAGTGCATTTCCACTATGAGGGCTCACTGTGATCAGTTAACCCAGCTGGGTATGGACCTTAGGTATCAGCTGGATGGACAGTTGAGGGTTCCCCTTGTTAGAGCTCTCCAGGATGCTGGTGAAAAATATCTCGATGCTGTCAAAGTGAGGGCTGGCGAAGACACCTGGAGGCCTTCCAATCTACAGAACCCACAGAACCTCGACAAACTACTGAGTGAACTCGATGATCAGGGAATTCCTGTGCCCAAGAGCTGTCTCACCGGTGACTGCTGGATATCTCTGACGAGCAATACCATTGCCTTTGCCAGATTATATGTTGGACTATTGGTGGATTGCCTCAGTGTTGCTACTCCTGAATTGATTTATACCATTGATAATGTCCTGGTGCTGGTAATGAAGGCTCAAGTCCAACATCTGGTAGCTTCATTGAATAATATCAAATTCAAGCAGGAGGTAATTATTTTGGAGATGATAAAAATAATTGCTCTTTCTTACTTTTAATTTTTTTGACAATTTTTTTCTTTATTCCTTGATTTACAATTAATATTCTTCAGTGTTATTTGTTCTTTGTAATTCTTTGTAATTAAGGACTACGGTATTTTTTGCAATTGATTAATTTCCAAAAGTAAATACAAAAAAATATATTTCGCAGAGAAAATTAGTCCAAGATAATGCAGTCTACGTTCGTGATGTAATTATCGAACGAGGTTTGGAGCTCTACAATAGTACAACAGGGCAAAAATTCAACAAGTTTATCGAGCTCAAACAACAAATTGTATTCGATCCAGTGCCTGCTAGTAAACCAAAACCAGCGCCGAGAACCTCAGTTCAAAAATATTCAACCACTGAATACTTGTGATTATTCCATTTGTAATATACTATAACTCACTTGTAAATAATATTGAACAATAAAATTCTCTATTTAATCAATTAATTATGTTTATCAATAATCTCGGAGGGAGGAGGGATTTCACATCTCGTGTGACTTGACAAAATATGTACAATTGTTTAATTATTTTCCAAAAATAATTGACAAATATTTTTTACGAGGTTTTAGTCGTGCTCTCCTTTTGTCTCTGTCTGCTTGTTCTCAGCTTCGATTCTTCTTTTTTTGGCTCTAATATCGGCTAACGTCTGCTCTATACTTCGCTGATCTTTTTTATTCTCACTAGGAACTGTTTTGTATTGAATGTAAAGAAAAGAAAGAGTGACAAAAGTAATGAAAATATTTCCTTATTAAATTATTCAACTCACCAACACCATAACTACTACTAGATTTAGTCTTCCTCGCAGCCTCAAGTGCTGACTCTTTGCCAATCAAGTGTTGATATTTGTCTTTGTAATTGGAATTTGGTACGAAATCATTGTTTCGTTTACGATTTTTAGCGTATTCAGCGTCCTCCTTGGCTTGTCGCTCTCTATTAATTTGTAATTTTTTGGCAATCTCATCATTCCATTCCTCACCTCTGCGAAGAGCGTTCAATTGGTCTTCTGAGGGGGCATACTCTCTTTTGAAGATCATTATGTGTCTGTCGATGCCCTCTTCACCGAAGGAGTAGGCCCACACGCTGGCGACTTCAGCAACATCATGTCTGTAACATATTACTAAATATTAGCCTTTTTCTTAGTAAAAATATTGAAAAAATAATTATTAGATATATGTATATATTGTATTTCACTCACACAATTGTCCTGTGAACCTTTTCCATCGGGGCAAATTTATACTCCTTGAGTTTCTCATCCTTGAGGAATTTATTAATCTTCTGTTCAACCTGGAAGAATGCATTGCGGCAATTGGAGGCATAATTGTAATTGTCATTAATTAGAAGAGCGAATATTTACCTGCTCGCGGAACTGTTTTAGCCTGTCAGCCTCTGCTTTCTGTCGTTTCTCGTGTTCCTCTCGTTGCTCTATCATTTCACATAAAGAACAAATAGTTATTATTCATTCCGCACAAAAATTGCATTTTTCTTTAAATTTTGCTTGTTGTTTTGGAGATTTTGGAAAAATAATTACACACAAATTATCTGTCCCAATATACCTTGGTAACTTTAGTGAAGAAAAAGAAGAAGAACAACAAACACCAATCCCCCAATCCAAAAAGGTTAAGACAATTAATTAACTCACTCTTTATCAACGCCTTCTGCTTGTCACTGACTGTAGGAGGTTTATCCATGGAGTCAAGTATCGATCCAAGTAAATCCATAATTATTACAACTAAAAATTGCTTAAATATCAATTGAAATTCCACACAAATGTGAGGCAAGTTGTCAAAAATAGCAAAATTTTTAGACGAGTTCACTTGAAAAACATTTGCTGCCCTCCACGCCCCCATCCAACACTTTTGGTAAATAATTTCCCTTAGATCCAACAACACATCGCCATCTGTAAATCCTCACGGCAAAACATCGTAATCATCATCATTCATGATTCATATGTATCATACTTACCTCTATTGGGTAACGGAGGTTTCCGCTTACCCACCGAGTGGTTATTTTTTAGTACCACTGGCCGCCATGACACTTGATAGTGTTGGCTGACATTTCTCATGCTCCTCGTTGTTGAGGACAATTTTATGCTCAAATCAAGCTGGCAAATATTGCATTATTTCCATAATATAAACACATAATTGACATAAATAAATAACCTATAATCCAAGGAATCATATGTAATGGGGTGACATTATTTTGTTTTGTCAACAAAAATGTAAGTACACACATTTTATATATATCATTCATTATAATAAAGGTTCTTTGTTTCAAGTTTTTGTTATGGAAATATTGTCGGTTATAAAAATTTTTTTTACAACAAATGACAGCAATATGTATCAACTTGAGTGAATCTAAATCATGTGGTATCTTGAGCAAAATTTTTACAACAACTGCTAAGCTGATTTACTTATAAAGAAAACAAAACGAAAAAATATGATGCATTTTATTGCAAAGACTGCCTCGGTCGATGATATTTCTATAATAATGTATGTATACTGAATTCTTCACATCCCCAAAGATTATTCCACTCTGGGACTTTTCCGTGCAAATTGCCGCAAAACCGTGAAATCCATAGTAAATAGCACAGCTGTATCGAAGCACTAATAACACCCCTCAAATCCCCAATACTCTCTCCGTGTATTATCGTGGATCGTCGAATGAAGATGTGTCGGTATTATCGATATTATTATAGTATACACGGGAGCTTTATAGATCCCGACATATTCCAAACTGNAAAAAAAAAAAAAAAAAAAAAAAAAAAAAAAAAAAAAAAAAAAAAAAAAAAAAAAAAAAAAAAAAAAAAAAAAAAAAAAAAAAAAAAAAAAAAAAAAAAAAAAAAAAAAAAAAAAAAAAAAAAAAAAAAAAAAAAAAAAAAAAAAAAAAAAAAAAAAAAAAAAAAAAAAAAAAAAAAAAAAAAAAAAAAAAAAAAAAAAAAAAAAAAAAAAAAAAAAAAAAAAAAAAAAAAAAAAAAAAAAAAAAAAAAAAAAAAAAAAAAAAAAAAAAAAAAAAAAAAAAAAAAAAAAAAAAAAAAAAAAAAAAAAAAAAAAAAAAAAAAAAAAAAAAAAAAAAAAAAAAAAAAAAAAAAAAAAAAAAAAAAAAAAAAAAAAAAAAAAAAAAAAAAAAAAAAAAAAAAAAAAAAAAAAAAAAAAAAAAAAAAAAAAAAAAAAAAAAAAAAAAAAAAAAAAAAAAAAAAAAAAAAAAAAAAAAAACAGCCAGCGATAAAAGAGAGGCTGTGCAGACGTGAACGGGGTAATTGGGACCGAAAGGCAAATATGCAATTACTATATTTTGCTTGGGCAAATATTATAATAACGATGAGGGGATGAAGAGGCAGTGGGGTTAACTAGTGGGCGTATTCATATCGGGCGTGCGATCAACGACGGCTCAGGCGCCTTCATTGGCATTAAAACCACCACTCGCTCCAACTTATTTCTTTTCCTCTTTCGACAAAACAAAAAAATACTGGACCCTTTGCTCTTGAATACGGCCCGGCCCACACTTCCTTCCTCTCTTTACTCTTTATTGAGGTATTTTCACACCCACTCGCTTCATGAAGCCATAATCTAATTTACAGGCGATGATGTGAGAACAATTTTTTCCGCTAAATTTTTTCGTTTTTTACCTTATATATTATATATTTGAGGATGGGTGTTGAGTATGAGAGAATTATTTGTGCAAGTATAACGGATTCCCACGCCATCAATTCAAGACATAATTTCAAAATTATCGGTTTATCTATGGATTTTCACCATTTCTTATTTTTCTTTCAAGTTGTAAATTTCTCATCGGTAAGATCTTGTATTATTTTTTTTTTTCTCCCTGAGGAGAAAACACAAATATTTATCATGAGTGTTTCTTGAGTTTCACGCAAACATAATCGGCACTTCACTTAGAAATTGAACAATAAACTATTTGATCCATCTAAGCCTTATAGGATTTCTGGTGAATTTTACTTTCTACCATCATGACATGTAGAGCTACTGCATCTAGATGTCTTTGTATAATATCAAAATAAACCGTGTCAAGTGATGTTATTAAATTTGGAAATACGCTTGATTGCATATTCATAACTTCCTCCGAGTTCTTACAAGTTTCTTCCTGTCACCACCAAAAATAATGTTGACTTAAGTTTCATAGCAAAAGGAGAGACCTTAAAAAATTGTAGATATAGACTATTTGGGTTTCCATATTTCCGGAAGAAAGATAGTGGGTTGATTTGCGCTCCGCATAATTCGTTAATAATTGGCCATTGGTTCCGCAAGTTTTGGCAAGTGAGCAAAGAGAGAAACAGAGAGAGGACTCCCTCACGCTGACCAACTGGGGCCCCAGGTGTGTGCACGGGGAAGCGTGGCGGACGCGTGCTTATCCCCACCTCATCATACACAGTGCACACGTTCCTATCTGTTTTTTTAAAATCATCTTTTTTCTTTCACTGTTTTCCCTTCATGCCCGCTAATCGTGTCTACCTAAATTTTCAATAGGTCACTGCGCAATAACAAATTATTCTCCTCAATAAAAACAGGGATGCTCATCTTTCGCAATGCATAATGCTATTTTTCAAAATGAGAACAATTTAAGGCTGATTAGAAAAAGACAATTAACCTCAGAAGTTTGCATTGGCGTTATTTTAATAATTCATTTCTTGACATTTCAATGACTTTCACCACGTGTTTCTTAAACAACAACAATATATTATTGTTCATTAAAAAAAATTTTTTTCTTCACAATCTCATTTCCGCTGGAACACCCACGCATCAACTCGACTGCAAAGAAATAAAAAGAAAGTAGGAAGAGCCGAAAAATATCCGAAAATCACCAATTCGAGCTTACAGTTGCCATCAGAAAGGTAGTGTTTAAGTTCCTTTGAAAATAATGCAATTATCAAATTAAACCTGGCACCCCCACTTGCGTCTCCAATACGAGAGTTCCTCCAATTTCGATATTTTTTCTTTTACTTTCGACTCAACTCTTACGCAAAATGCCTGGAATTTAATTGGATAATTACCAAGTATAGACGAGCCAAAGGGGTTAACTGGTCAGACACTCAACGGCTACGTGAGATTTTCGTTGAAAAATTCCCAATCGAAATGAAATGAGAGTAAAAAAAATGATGAAATATTTGGAGTAGAAAAGAAGGAATTAAAATAGATTGAAAGCTAGAGTAGGCCAAACATTTGAAATTTCATTGCCCTCTTGAAAAGCCTGTGCTTCATTATTATTATTATTATTATTATTATTATTATTTTCAATATAAATGGCCACGTGAGTCGGTGATTCCTTTAATTGGTCAAATCACAACACAATGGATGATATTAAAAGGCAAAATATTTTCAAACAACAATACAACGTCTTTTCAATTCTTCTCGTTTCACTACAATATTGGACAAAACAATTCAAATACGAGAAACTCTATAACGAGGCTTCTAACCAGTACCGCAATAGGGGGCGAACCGCAAAAGTAGCAATTTTTTTTCTTCCAAAAGACCGCCGATGCCCAACCAGGAATTCCATTTAGAAAAAAAAAAAAAGAAAAAAAGGAAGCATCTTCCGCCGCCTTGTCGGCGTGACTAAAAACCCACAAGGTTCGGGCTAAATCAATGAACAAGTGGTGAAATCAAATAAGATACTTTTTCACGTGTAATTGCAGTATTTTCAAATTTTTTTTCTATGCTTGGAAAATTATTGTAATCACCCCGAAAAATTGGTAAAATCACTTCACCTGTTTGAGGAACATAGACAGAAGCGATTTTTTTTCTCATGCAAGGAGTGAACATTCTGTGCAAGCTAGTTGATATAGTGTACATCAATTTTTTTTGTATTTTCCATCAATTTTTCATAAATTAATATTCAATCGCTCATTTTCATTTTCTCGGTCTTTATTGACCACACCAACGTTTTTTTTTTTAATTCTCCACACGCTGCAGCGTTAGTCGCACCAGAGGGTGCCATGCCATTGTCTCCATTCATTTCAATAGGCCATTTTTTTATTTCATAAAAATTACTCCTCATTATTTTTCTATTTTTTTTCTTCTTCTCTGGAGTCGATTGTGACGAGGCGCAGAAAAGTGAAGGAAAATTGTGCCCAATGATCAAAGATACCTTTCCGAATTTTCAAAGGAGGACTCCCCTTCACTGGGGATAGAAAACCCAGAAGAATCTTAGGGCTTCTGCGCCTGGGGCCCTATTAAATTGCTATTTACGAAACGACTTCCTGCAGCATCTTTGTGACTTCCGTCCAGAAAGCAAAACAGACCTGTGGGATGTGTAATTCATTTTTCAATTATACCCCCAAATTTATGTGCCAAATTATACAGTTTCCTGGATTTTCATTTTTTTTTGTCATTGTTTGAACAATTGATATGTGATGAATCGATCTGTCAGAGTGTACTTCCGTTCCCTAGATGAAATGAAATCTAAAAAAATATATTTCAACTATTTATAAACATACTTTTATTCGCTTGAGAAAAAAAAGTAAATCACAAATACGGTTGACACCTACTCAGGCTAATGGTTTGAAAAGTAAGAAAAAACTCAAATGATGATTGAAATGAATTTCTTGAATGTCGGAACTTCAACTTTTCCTCATCACCGATACAAAATGACAAATGACTGCTGTCATTGCACTTGCTATCGTATCCTATCGCATCTCAGATTGGAAACCAAGACAAAAAAAGTGAATTTTAATTACCTACAATCCACACCCACGATATTTGTCAGTCTGAAGTATATGGGAAAGGTGAGAAAGTTCCAAGGATTTTTCTCACCCGATAGCCACCCAAAAAGTCAATGAAAAAGGGGCTCCGTAGGAGTGAACGAGGTAAAAGAGGGTGGAGAC